TACGTTGTGAGTCTTCAATAAATATGACTCCATCTTAGGGACCGTAAGTAATATTATGCGTTATGTAATGCAAATTAAGAGGGACCGCAGCTTACCTAAGCAGTTGGCGAAATCATATCTGGGCTAAGGTGTAAGCGACAGTAACTTGCGGATATACCTTTTCGTAGAACGGCTGTATGTACTTTGTTCGAACCGAACACACACACACACATTCATTTCTTCTGTTATTGTATGTATATACATATGATGACGATTATTATTAAGATTTTAGTACTAATAGGGAGAAAGTTCCGAAAGCGGTTAAGAAGAAGTAATACCCTACGACTGACACCTGTGAGGTCCAGCTTAGTGTGGAGTCAATATAGAGGACAAGGTTCAAGACTAATTTAAGCTGAACGGAACAGACGAGTTTTCATACAATACATACATACAGACATCCCAAAATTAGTTGACCATACAACTCATCGTAGATCACGGATAATCTGACAAATCGCCGAATTAACTTCTTCAACAGAAGCCTAAATCTACAAGTCATCGGCGTAAAAATGATAAGAGCAGTTAAGTGAGAAAGGAAGAAAATTAATAAAAAGAGAAAACAAAAGTGGTGACTGAATTCCACCCTGTGGAACACCAGTCGTTAAATCATGTCAGGTCGGATTAATTATGACCCACAAAGACCGATAAGAATGTAAACAAAACAATAGTTTACGTTACAAAGAGCAAATGAAATGGTTTGTCTGAAAAATAGAATGTTTCTTATCGTGAAAGAACACAATACATTAAACAAATCTTCAAGATTTGTTTTTAATGTATTAGTAAACACTTATAAACAGTCTTTATAGATAACGTTGTGCCATTATCTACTTTCTCAGCTCAGACAGGTGTCTCTTGCTGACCTTGCGCCAGCGTAAGTCTGTGTTCGCAAGCCGTGTGCGGCGGTACTGTGCGCCCGCGCATTACATCGCGTGCGTTGATACGGAAACTTAACCAAATAACGAACGACATTGGTCAGATTTGTTTTGCAAAAAACAACAAATTGTTCCTCAATTTAAAGTGATTTAAATAACCTCGTCAGTGTTTTTGAAATAAAATTCCATCTTATTTTTAGTAACAGAGAGAGGTAGATGTAAACAAAGTTAAACAGCGCAGTTATTTTTTACGTTTCGCTGTTTTTTAAAAACATTTAAAAAAAACGTGTTTAAACTTGTTAAGTGACATTTTGTAGTGAGAGTAACACGATTTTATGCAGTTTCAACAGTGTAAGTGACAATGAGCATGTCCAGACCGTAGAGATGAAATGAAGGGGAGGACTCCTAACAAACTTCCTCTGTTCCTGGGAAAAGTTCTACTACGCTGGATTTTTCACAACTCAGACATATTGTTTTTTGTTCATCGGTCAGTTTTTGTTTATTGTTTTCAGAATGTTTACTATTACTAACCTTTCTGAGTATTGTATGTTATCTAAACGATAAAAGAGTTTTTTTTTATTTATTTAATTATCAAAACAATACATCAGAGATATAGTTCGGTGTATAATAAGTGACTAATTCGATAAAATTTATTTTGGAACAATATAGATACAAAAACAAATACCGTACAGGGTCAATTGAACTCTACGCCGCTTGCGATACGAATGGTCCAAAGTACAAACGTGGTTATTCACTAATGATTACCTCTAATTTCAGGTTTCTTACCACGGTATGACTTCTTTTTATTTTCCCGATATTTCGGAACGGTTCCACGCTCCATGGTTGAGTCAACCCGTGACCATGGAGCGTGCAACCGTTTCGAAATATCGGGAAAATGAGGAGAAGAAAAAAAAGAAGTCATACCGTGGTAAGAAACCTGAAATTAGTGATAATAATTTATTCATTTTGTATGAAAAACATATGTATGATTAAATTTGACAAACTTTTGCTGCTCCGATTTTTTTGGTCCCATACAATGAAATGATCCTTACATAATACTGAGTCCATCACCACTAAAAAAAATTGATTTAATTTTGATAATCGACTTGAGCCACTCAGAAAAGCTATACGTTCATGCAATAAGAGCGAAACAGATGTTGCGCGTTTCGGTTTTATATTTTTGTTTCAGGTTTCGGTTACGCTTGGACCGCTGATGCGAAACAATGTCTTTTTCGCGCTTATTCATCATCATCATGGGGCCATTTTGTGATCCAATATTGGACGTAGGCTACTTCCCTCTTCTTCTACTCTTGGCGATCTTGTGCCAGAATCATCCAGTCCCGACCTCTGCGTCGTCGGATGTCGTCCATCGTCCGTCTCCATCTACCGTCCGCCCGAAACAATTACTGTCAAATAAGTAACACTCAACCAAAGATTCATACTTGACATTGTCTTTTAATTATGTCGAGTACCTATTACTTATTTGCCAGTAATTGTTTTTGTTCGATGGAGAACGGGTGTAGATCCCCTGCCGCGCTCTCTGGTGTTCGCCCTGGGCCTCCATTCAAGTACGCCTTTTCCAGCGCCTCTAGCTTATGACCACTTTTTTTGGCTCCGACAGCCATGACATCTTTAACTTTGGTTAATCTCGCTCGGTGACTCCGAGCATTGCCCTCCATGCCCCTCGGTGCGACTCGGAACCTCTCGGAGACTTCTGTGTAAGAGCGGTTACACACGGCTACTATTAGCAGCGATGCAAACGCGATGCAGTAGCGATGCAGTCGCTAATTGTCTACCTTTACACACACGCGCGATTGCATTGCCAGTCTTATGATTTATAACAATCGCGCGTTTGTATCGAGACAATTACTCACTGCAATGCATCACTGCTAAACGTCGCCGTGTGTCCAAGAGTCATGGTTTCCATTCCTTCGCCCTCATGGACTTAAAGCGTTTTCTGACAGGTTTAACGCGATTCCAAATCGATAAGTGTGGTGTCTCTAGCGATGAAAGAGACTCAGGGTCGTATTCCAGAACTCTACTCAATACTCAAGTTAGGACTTGAGTATTGCAGTGGGCACTGAAAATCATACTCAAGGTTTTGCCATTAGGGTCGTATTTCCAGTGCTTGAAATCATACATACATTGAGTAGAGTTCTGGAATACGAGCATTAGTCTTTTAAGGCGTTTTATAACGACTTGACTCCATTTTACAGGACTCGACTCAAAAATTAAGACCGGAGGTTCGAATTTTTATTAATAAGACTCAGTCGTTATATTAAAATACTTAAACGACTTGAACGACTTAAACGACTCGAGTTGTTTGCAATGGACTTATACCTATTTTAGTCATATTGAACCCGAAGTTTATAAATAAAAATGATATAGTATGTAGTAAATAATCACGTTTATTTACTTATAATAAAAATTATGATTCAAAGAGTGATTTAAGCAATAGATACAAGATTTAAGACCTAATTATATAACGATTGCATACAATACTTTTTCTGCGAGTAAATTAAAATAATGAAGTACATCCTATATTTAAAAGTCTATGGAAATCCAGTTCTAACGTGCTTTTTTTTGGGTAATATTGGTCTGTAACCACTTTTCTTATTATGAAGTCCTGGTACTTTTTTAAACTTCTTTAGAAACCCGTGCACAGTAGTGTTTTATGTATCACAGTAGTGAGATACAATTTATCTGTAAATTGTATCTCACTACTGTGATACATAAAACAAATATATACATAAAAGTCTCGCCTGTTACCCATTCAAGGGTAGGCAGAGACTGTGAACCTGCACTTAATACGTTCATAAATAGCATTTTTCATTCATCATTATGGTTAAACGACAGTATCAGACACTAAAATTTGATAAAATACTTTGACTGTTGGGTTCTGTATCCATTGATTCTTATTTAAAAAGAAAAATAATTCCCAAAAAACAAATTCTTGAATTGGTTATAATTAACTGACTTCTGTGAACAAAGCTACGTTAACGTTATGCATCAATCGTAAAATACATATCTTGTGTAGAAATGAAATCACGCCATACGGCTCATGACTCGCGACTCCTGAGGCTATAAGGCGCCAGTCGTTTTAGTCCTTTTAGTCGTTTTAGTCCTACAAGTATTTTAAGCTTCGTAAGGTTAAAAACCTTCGTCTCGAATTAGTCTTCAGTTTTAGTCTTATGACTCAAAACTTGAGGGTTAAAAGACTAGACGTGAGGCGTTAAAAATTAGTCGAGGTTTTTTAAAAGGCCTTAAAAGACTGAGTCTCTTTCATCACTGGTTGTCTCTCTACCACGAGCTACAAGCTCAAGATGTGAATTAGCCCCTAACTACGACTATTAAATACAAAATGGATAGTAACGCAGATGGGAAATAGAAGAGTTTCGCAGATGGAGCCGCAAACCGAATAAGTAGAAACATTTATGCGCAGGATGGTTAATAAAAGAAACTCACATAACACTGTGATACAACATCGTTCATTTTAACTCTCGCTGAGTAGTTAACCTACAAACCTAGAATGCTTTAACGCGTAATATGTGACCATTCAATGCTTCAAGTTGATAATTCAAATTTCACGAAAAGTTATGATACCTGTATTATAATTAAAGTTCTTTTTTAATGAATGGAAAGTAAATTACTTCGATTATGTTCCGACAAACGCACATATTTCTACATAAGATTCAAATCGTCAGCTAAATTTGAAAACATTGTAACTCCGTTTTTGGACAAAATCCCTTTTTTCATTGTTCTTAATCAAAACTTAAAATTTAATTTGTTTATTGTAGACCCTTTTTTAATTAAAAATTAAAGTACAATCATTTCTAATAATTCTGTTATTAGCGCCTCTTCAAAAGTTCACATTAATTGAGGTTACCAGGTTCAACTTTATGCCGTCGACGATAAGAGATGGTGCAAATTGTTAAGTCCTACGTGCTTTATACTGTGGCCCAGTTAAAATAAAACTTCACAGTGTTGTATATAAAGACCAAGCTTTTAAAAGTTTTTATATAAATACATATCTTTAGAATTGGCAAGTAAATCTTTAAAGTCATATTTTCACTGAAATACGTGAATTATGTAGGTACTATTCCTACATGTTTATTTTGCACATAACTATATAAAGCAAGCTTAGGGATTCACCACATTTACCGACACGGAATCGCATTAAGGTTGCTAGTAGATTGACTGCATGTTTGCAGTTAATGCGTGAAGTCGCAATCAACTTCATGCAGTCGAGACCTCGACTGCATGAAGTTGATAACGACTCCACGCATTAACTGCATGCAGTCGATCTTGGCTGCTTGAAGTCGGCTTCGACTGCAAGCAGTTAATGCGTGAAGTCGTTATCGACTTCATGCAATCGAGGTCATGGATAACGACTTCACTCATTTACTGCATTTTCTCATCAGGTAGTAGCTTTATAGCTGGTCAGAAGTCGTTTTATGTAAATGTAATAAAAGCGAAAAAGACTGCGCGTTTCGCAACATCTTTTTCGCTCTTATTGCATTGAGATAAAGCTTTGTATAATCGGCTTCCGATTCCGCGTTGATAAGTATGGTGACCACTTTATCGGTGTGTTGGCAATCTCATAAGTGATAAAAGTATACGGGTATTACGCAGAAAGACTGCTGCCAATTTCTAGTGTCTTCGACTCCCAGAGGACGGAATGGATATTAACAGTAGCATTTTAAGAAAAATACAATAGACAATCAAGAAAAAATACCAGTTTTCGCATGAGCATGTTACATAAATTTTAATTCCAGTGATTCTTTTATATGATAATAGACCAACTTATAGATAATATAAAGCCACAATAATCCCTAATTTACTGTACCAACCTTTTGTAATACATACAGCTAATAAAAAATTCATTTATAAAATAATAATCAATCATTCATAAATAATATAATATATAATTAATAAATAATCTCAGTACAGAGTACTAAAAAAACCGACCTCAAAAGTACGTGGAATTACGTCTATTTGCTAAGTTTCATTGAAATATCCCCTAGTTCGCCACTATACAGGACTTGATACTGGAGATAATAAAAATAGGTTCTCACTACGACACTACTCAAAGTATATCGAGGGAAAAACGTCTTGAATTGATGAAATAGCAAAATCAACTAAATAATTGCTAAAAGTAATTGCTCCTAAATTAAAGTTAGGCGCTATTTATAAAAATGAATCTTCATGCGTGAACAGCCACCCTTTGAAGTGGATGATTTCCTTCAAAATGAAATGGGACCATTATGGAAGTACCCCCTTTCCAACAAAGTAAGAATCATGAAAATCGGTTCCCAAATACCGGAATTATCGCGTAACATACATACAAAAAAAAAACAAAAACAAAAAAAAAGAACATACAGTCGAATTGAGAACCTCCTCCTTTTTTGAAGTCGGTTAAAAATGGGGGTTTGTTTGGTGCGTCATTTTTTCATGTGTCGTGTTTACATGTCGAAATAGTAACAATGTTACACATTAAATTTGAATTGAATTGATATTCAATTATTTTTTGTGAAATCCACTAATTTGTTATAAGTAATTATTAATACAAAGATCGAAACTAAGAAAAAAAATCCTTCAATCCGGTCGGAGCTTTCGGAGTCGAACCGACAGACGTCTTCTAACAAACTGTGGCAGACGCTATGCCAACTAAGCCACGGAACGAACCAGAGACCTCACGAATTTTTCAATGTGTTTTATTATCCGACAACAAGCCGAATCTTCGTATTTGGTTTTCAATGACTTTTAGCCGTAGCGCCATCTATGAGAAATCTATTTAAGTATTTCGTCGTATAATGTTGCACACTTTTTAACATTTATGACTTTTGAAATTTCTGAACGCTTTTATATTGTAAAAATCTTACTTCAAGGGTGCACAAAAGGAGCGCCACCGCACAACGTACCGTTCCTTCCCTGTATATCTGACGCATCATAGACAACAATCGACGAATACCTTAATCCGATTAGCAAATCCTTTCACCAAGATGGCAAGCATTATAGTGTATGCCATCGACACGACAAGAAAAAGACTTAAAGGGTCTCTTGATCAATTTCTCTACTGGTGCTGTTATTTTGTTTTGTTTGTTAAAGTATTTCTCGCATTTATAATAGTTATGGATAGGCGTTTCCGGTGTGTCGCTTGCCACCAGGTGCACGACTTGTTCATCTCGTGTATTATAAAAAAAATATTTTGAATACTGGGGTTCTAGAGTCCTCAATATTTTTTAGTCAGTACTAAAAAACCGAACTCAAACCCTAGTTTGCCACCTCTACGTGGAATATTTTCTTCAAATTTAAATGGGATCACTTCCTCCTTCCAAAAAAAGAGAATAAAAAAATCGGTTCACAAATATGCATAAATATTCTTACATTTTTGCTTAAAGGTGTAAACAACCTGTATATGTACATATTAAAAACAAAGCAAGAAAAATTTATTCACTTCGGTTTTTAAGAACGTGTCTATGTTTTCAGAATATTTTGTTTATGTGATCACTCTGCACCCACAGTACGAAATTGAAAGGAATTTTCACAATTGCTTTAGCGGACTATATTTGGATGGGGTGTTAATGATGAATGAACAAGGCAACATAAAATAAACTTCCAGCTTTTATTAAACAAGTTACACAATGGAGTAACGTATTGAAGGCAACCGCAGCAGCAAAACAATCATAAATTAGCGCTAAAATCAAGCAATATATAAAAATATTTCGATATTTCGGAACTCACATCGCCGCGGACCGAATGGAAGAGAATTTTTGTAACGCAATTTTAAATAGCATAATAAACTTTATATCTATTGTGTACAAACTATACATATACATACGATACGGTAGCTGCGGGATTCCCTGGACGGGGGGTCTACTCTCGATCTCGGTCTGACATCCGTCCGAAACAATTACTAACAAATAACTAATATTCGACAAAATTAAAAGACAAGTACCAAGTATGAAGCTTCATTCGCATCACACGTCTTTTCATTTGGTCAAGTATTGCTTATTTGGCAGTAATTGTTTCGGACGGATGTCAGACGGAGATCGAGTGTAGACCCCCAGTGCAAGAATTCTCCGGATTCTATTCTATTCTATTCTTTGACATAAATTTCATTATAATCATTGTTATAAAAATTGGTGTCCATTCCGTTCCGCAGCAATGTCAATTGAACTACACGTTCCATAGTCGGGTAAAAACAGACATATTGTTATGAACGTTGAAATAAATCCATGAAATTTAATTACTATTACATTTAGTAATCTATAAAAACAAAAAAAACTAATAAGTATTTTGTAGCTTAGGCCGCTACAGTTGCATTGCTTGAGTCCATCATGAATACAAAGTATTAATGCAAATAGGGTATGTTTTATTGTGATACACCGCTTGTCCGTACAGTTACGTTACCAAAGTCATTTTTGTCGCGTCATGCTTAGAATAAATCGTGTATCTTATTGCTAGACCTCGGTGATAGTTCACGATGCTTATAATCTAATTAATGCAGGTCTTGCACCGCACAAGGCCGCATGAATTGCACGTCCCGGACCCATCCATGTGGCCATACTTCGCAGAATAAAATGAGACTATAAAATTGTTATTGTTTCTTTTCTCGCTACGTTTCGTATTAACGTATTGTTTGATTGCTGAAATAAGAACTAATGTTCATTATAATCAGGCAGGAGATCCCTACATGTGTGAGTTATTAGTAATAATAATAACGCACTCACTCAACATAGTCCCGCACTAGGGAAAACCCTGTGTCGCGGGTGCCATGGGCACACACATATACAACCACAAATTCTCACGAGAGCAATAAATGTAGGCCATACAAATATTTCTCCCGGCCCGGGAAACGGACCTGGGACCTCTGCGTGGCAGCATGGACCAATAACTCAAGAGGACTGCTAATCGTCATACAAGATAGCGTAGCCGGGTATTTAGTACCTATTGGTACACTAGATGTCGCGACGATTACCAAATAGCTATTTTGTAACGTTATTTTACATTGACACATTGATTCTATCAAATCTGCTTCTAGTGATAACAAACACGTCAACTAGATGGCGCTATATTTTACCTCAAAATGGATATGCACTTGGAGTCGTATACAAATACATTGTAAAAAAAAAACAATCGCAACTCACAACGTTTCCATCCTCTAAATAATAACTATATACACTGAACACTACTTTGTCTATTCTAATGCCATTTAGACATATTGATAGTTTAGCTTAAAATTATTCATATTTCAATGTTACTGGGTGTAAGAAGCGAGAAAAAACAATGGCTACGGTGATTTTAGGCTGAGAACACCGAACGTGCGAAATAATATTTTTTAATTTTTATTTAATTTATATTTTTTTTTGTAATTCCAAGAAGTATGATATCGCAGATATTGCATTGGTCCCAAAGGGTCATATTGGAACGCCACACAGTGGGCCCAAATTGATAATTCTTGGACATAGGAATAACTTGTGGAGTATCGAGCAAATTTTTTTTATGTGATATATAATAACATTCCTAACAACTTTTATTCTTGTATGATTTCTTGAAAAGTTGATAGATTCAGAGAAAAAAAATTTTTGTATGGACAAATATACATTTTATTTTTTATCTCAAAATATACGAAAATCTAATGTGCGTGG